TCTACCTAGCTCCAGATCTTCTAAGAAAGAAGGTGGACCAGAAAAAGCGGGAATCTCAAAAGACCCGGCCAAAATCGGACTACGACCGCTCTCTCACCAAGTCATTTGAGGCGGCGCAGAAAAAGACTAGAGTAGGGAAAGATGTTGCACAACTCGGACAACAATCGCAACAATCAATCCCCCCTCTTTTCATTCGTAATGAATATGGTTCAAACTTAGACTTACCGGACGTCGATTTTGAGGAAATGGTTCGGTTTTACGAGGATACCGGTTTGGACCTTGTCCAAGTGCTCGCTGAAGGACCATCTGCTCCGAAAGTGGATCCTTGGAAGAAATTTGAACATGGAAAGAGTCTATACAATCCTGAGGCCTTAGGTGAACTGGGTACGCAAATGTACCTGCTAAACAAGTGGTACATGGCGACGTGTGAACGGGGAGAGAACTTTATTTCTGTCAGAGTTAGAAACCAACATTACTTCTGTGGCGATGACGTTATATATGTCGAGTTTTTATAATTACACCAACTATGCCACCTAGACTCTCTCGACAAAAGTCTCATTAGCTGCTATTGTCTGTAAGTGTGATTATTTTCTACTATTAAAGTGTATATATATAAAGCTACATGTATATATATAAATTATATATCCTCACACTATATTTTTATATATGCAGATATGAGATGACAGAACTCAGAAATAGAAAGGATAATGATGTTGGTTTCATTGATCCAAATGTCGTATTCAAACACCCTGATCCCCCGCCTCAATGGAAAGTTGAACTCGAGAAAAATCTCATGAGGTTCTTAGTGAACCAACAAAACAAGGACATACTCTTCCCCTACAACTTCAAGTGAGTGTTACATAATTAATGTCGATTATATGGACCTTTGTTCAATTAATTGCTTACTAGCTAAGCTATCTCCCATATATATATATATGTTGACTCTAGTTAATGTCGATCATATTTGTGTATAAAAACATATGCAGCAATCACTGGATATTGATGGTCATCGATATGGCCAATAGTCGGTTGAGCATCTTAGACTCGTTAAAAAAAGAGCAAACAGAGTACCAAGACATGATAGATATTATCCAAGGGTAATTTGGTCTCTCTAGCAACTATATATACCCCGATCTCTTAACTGCAACAATTATTAAAGGCCAAATTAATTTTTTTATTTTATTGGGCGCAGTGTTTGGAAAAGTTTCATTGAGGAACACCACATAAAACATTACAAAGCGCCACTGAATGTAATCGCACACAAAGTAAGTACTAGCTACATTTATATATATATATATAATTCAATTAACACCATGCATGCTTTTAATTCACTGGATCTTTTTTCTCGTAAAAGTGGGTTCTGAGGCAAGAACAGGAGAACAACTATTGCAGATACTATGTTTGCGAGTTCATCATGGCGTACTCAAAAAGAACTCCCGAAGAGAACCTCAAAGTACGTTATATAAATATATTTATATATTCACAATTTCTTTTATTGCTCATATATATATAAAAGTAATCACGTGACCAACACACACACATATATATATATATTAATACTTTTTCTTTAACTTTTATTGAAGACTCTATGGTTGAAGGAAAAAGTCATACGACGTGACCACCTGAAAGCAATTCAAGAGACCATAGCAGGATTTCTTAATGACCAGGTCCTAAACCCCACCGGCGAGTTCTACAATGACGTGAACGAAACATGAAAGCCAAACCAGATAGAGTGAATTTGTTATCCCAAGGATATGATAGAATATACAATGCAAGATTTATTTGTAATATATATATATATATACATATTATATGTACATAAAATAACGTATAATATATGTATATGCATGTAATATATACGTTAGTTTCATAGTTTAGTTTGTACAAAATGTTCGAACATATAAACGTGTAGAATACGTATATTATTAGTAGCGTAGAATGCGTATTTGAAAACCTATTCGAAAACCAAAACGATTCATCAATTGAAAATAGAAATAAAAAAAGAAAAAAACATTTAGTCCCGGTTGGTAAAAGTGGGTGGAAAAACCTTGGGCAAGATAAGAGTTGATTCTCAATTTCTCACCTCGGGATTTTTTGGAAGAAAATAAAGTGAATTCAATTATAAGGGGTGTCCCTTCCTTCAAGTGTTCTGATTTCTCTACGAGTTTTGATCGAGAATAAGTCTTCACAGGGCTTCCACTACTGTATTCTTAAAGCGGTACTTCGGTCGGAAAGAAAGCGGTTCTGGTCCGGTCGACTCCCATGCATGCTCCTCTGGGTCAGCACGAAAAGCAGTTGTTGCCTTATCTGGATAAGTGGGAAGGTGCAGACTTCCTTTGTACAGCCACGTGGCCAGGCCGGGAGGCCTCTTTAGCCCCGGTTGGTATTACCAACCGGCCCCTTTAGTCCCGGGCGCGAAGCCGGAACTAAAGGAGGGGCCCTTTAGTCCCGGATTCGTGCTCCCGGTTCCAAAACCGGGACTGAAGGGGGTTGAGAACCAGGAGTACAACCCGTTTCTGTACTAGTGTCCTATATCAAGTTAAAGGCTGGTTTTCTTTGTAATGCTAGATTCTTGAAAAAAATATAAGATTAGATTTGTCGCCTCTTATATGTCATGTTCTTATTTTTCTACCTTTGTCCAAAGGAATCCTAAGGCTACGCTGAGACTAGTTTTTGTAGAACCCTTGGTTATGAGAAAGAGGAAGCTGGACGAAAATCATGATTCGAGAGGGTGCTCAGGATGTGGATGGTTTAGCATGGAAAAGTTAGCACTTTTTTGTTGCTTCTTTTGTTCCAAATTATTGGGAATTTAGTTTCTTCCTAAGTGAAACCAATCTAATTTTGACTAAGTTCATAGAAAAGTACACCAACATGTACAACGTTGAATTAGTTACATATACCTTGCACTAGTGAAAACAGCCAAGCATCAAAAGCAAGCTAACCAACTAATAATTAAGATACCTTCAGTTTGTAACCATAGATAGACTTTCCGGGGGATTTTAGCTTTCTTGTAGATACTTCATCATGTAATCCCACATGTTTTGGGTCATTGGATCGACTCAAAACTTGCTAAATTAATTAAACTATATAATGGCATGCCACCTAATTAATTTAGAGAGAGAAATGAACTAACCTAGCTGTACTACGCAAAAAACACCTTTAGATACACACTTGCATGCATACGTATTCATCATGCATTCATGCTTTCTACACAAGTTGTACAACTGTCTTAACTGCATCGTGTATATATAACTGTAGGTGTCCTTTGCTAACTTCTTAAATAATTACAGCCAAATTTCAAAAAAAAAAATCACAGCCGCACGCTCTCTCTCCCCCCTCTCCTTTATATAGCGTAGTACTCGGGCGGGTTCATAGGGGCAAGCAAAGCTGTAGAGATACTAAAGAGAGGGCGGGCAAAGAGAAAGATGAGGCGGCGGCAGCAGCAGCCGAGTAAGTTCAAGACGATTTGTGTCTTCTGCGGCAGCAGGCAAGGCAAGAGGACGAGCTACCACGACGCCGCCATTGCCCATGCCCAACAGTTGGTAATATAATTACTCTACTCCTCACCAAACCAAATACGATCGATCCAAGTATATAGTTTCGTGGTTAGCATATGCATGCAAAGGCTCCGCCAGTTTAATCTCTCTCTCTCTCTCTCTCTCTCTCTCTCTCTCTCTCTCTCTCTCTCTCTCTCTCTCTCTCTCTATATATATATATATATATATATATATATATATATATATATATATATATATATATATATATATATATATATATATATATACACACTTGTTCATTATCCGGCCGTTTCATTTGACTTGGCCACGAGCACGCTAAGCATGCCGGCGCCGGCCGTGTGCAGTAGCATTATTTTCACATGCATCCACACGTCGACGACGACGGTTCTCGGTCGGCACAACAATTCAATCCAAAGGAGCGCGCCTTGAGTTGTGCTTGCAGTAGCAGCTTGTTGCCAAAAAACACCGGCCGGTGCCGGACGATGTCAACCTGCATGCGGTAGGTGGTAGGCTTTCTACACGGTAGGAGCAGTAGTACAGCAGAGTGCTCACTTTGGAGAGTCACACCACTCACTGACGCGAGCTTACATACAGGAGGAAAAAATAAATACACTGGTCTCAGCTGATGAGCATCCTGTACTACGCGATGCCATATTTAGGGGGACCAAGTTGCCTCTTTCTGTGTAGTACTTCTCCTACCAGAAATAGCACGATCGTAAATTTTCAGTCGGAAACAGTATTTTTCTCTCACACCAAACCAGCCAGCAGTAAATAATCCACGATACGATACGGCCTCCCGAACATGCTGCTGGTTGTTGGGTTAGATGGTGTTTGATTGCCCTTCCTAAAATTTAGTCGCTGTCCCATTAAGTGTTTGGACATAAGGAGTATTAAATATAGACTAATTATGAAACTAATTATATAGTTTGCGACTAATTTTGCGAGATGAATCTTTTAAGCCTAATTAGTCCATGATTTGACAATGTGATGCTACAGTAACATGTGCTGATGACGGATTAATTAGGCTTAAAAAATTCGTCTCGTGGAGCACTGACGGATTATGTAATTTGTTTTTTATTAGTATCCGAACACCCCATGCAGGCTCCGTTCGCGGGTCTGAAACTGGCTGAAAAACACTGTTCCGACTGAATTGTTATGAGAGAAAAACATTGTTCCGGCTGAAAAAAAAAAAGCCGAACAAGCCGAATATAGGATAAGCCGAACAAGGCCGCAACATCCTCCCGACACACCTCCTAAATTTTAGTCACTGGATCCAAAACATCACCTTAGCCAGAACATCTACCTTCTTGTTGGATTAGCTTCAGTTGTGTTTTGAAGGGGAAAAAAATACAACACGTACTGCATGCGAATAACAAAAGCTAACTAAAAATGAGCAGGGTTATTAATTTTTCATAATATAAATAAAAGGATTGCGCTAGCTTCTGATGAGTGGAGGCAGTCGGTGGTGGACGCATGCAATGCATGGTGTCAAGAGGCATCGACCTGGTGTATGGCGGCGGCGGCATAGGTCTCATGGGGCTCGTCTCGCAGGCCGTCCACCGCGGCGGCAGGCGCGTCGTCGGGTACGTACGCGCGCACGCCTACCTAACCAACTCATCTTCTGTTATATATAACTACTACTCCCTCCGTAGCCAGGTTCAAATTGCGGGGGTTTTTTTTTTTGACGGAGTGAGTACAATTAATACACAGCTTATATCGTGTGTTAATCTAGTAGCTAATCGAGTAGTGTTCGTTCATCCTTTTTAGTCTTCCTGCAGAGTGATTCCCAGGACTCTGATGGCCACTCCTGAGGTACCTATCTATTTGCATTACGTGATGCATGCATATATAGGCATATAGCCAGCATATCTATAGAATTTGCTCCTGCCGTTCTGGGGCACACCACACAAGCTTTTTTCTTTTATGATGATGATGCTGTCCGTCCGCTCCTTTTCCTTCACTGTTCAGATAATCGGAGAGACGGCGGGGGAGGTGATTGCGGTGGCGGACATGCACCAAAGGAAAGCAGAGATGGCGAGGCAATCTGATGCGTTCATAGCCCTGCCTGGTGAGTAGGAATTTAATATTCGCCCTGTTCGCTAATAATTTTTTTCTTTCACAACAAATCAGTCAACAGTACTGCCAACAGTACTTTCAGTCATGGCTTATCAGCCAAGCGAACAGGGCAATTACGTGCAAATGATAGTATGATATGATACTGACGAAATTATATTGGCGAAGTGGTCATGATTCATGAATCTCCTCGACGTTGCGCCTTAGTACTGATCAAGACAGTTCTGTATCTATGACTGATGACTCTGACATTAATGCAAACAAGTATAGTACTAAATCCGTTTCAAATTATAGTTCGTTTGACATTTTTTTTGACCTTAAGTTTGACCACTCGTCTTATTCAAAAATTTATGCTAAATATCACTTCTTTTGTCGTGGCTTGCTTTATTAACAAAAGTTCTTCAAGAATTACTTAAATTTGACTATGTTTATACAAATTTTTTAAATAAGACGAGCGATCAAACTTAGGGTAAAAAAATCAAACAAATTATAATTTTGAACGGAGAGAATACTATGTACATATATACAGTATATGTATACTATATGTTCCACGTGCTGTGCTGCCGGCCGGATGGAAGTCCACACGTATAGTAGTACATAGCAACAAATTAAATAACCTGCATTCATGCATGTATATGTGGTCCATAAAATGGTCATCAGAACTATAGTACTAGCTCTGGCGTGCGTACATGGCTGAACTATCCTGGCATCATGCATGGGGACCGTTTTTTTTTTTCAGGAGGACATGGAACGCTGGAGGAGCTGCTTGAGATGATCACATGGGCATCCACCGTAAGCCGGTAATTAATTAATCATAACGATATGCTGCGGCATTTATCCACACACACGATGAGTATATATAGCTAGAGTACTAGATATGTATGTGCCTCGACGATCGGTCTATACATATATCGGCCTCTCTCTCTCATATCGTCTTCATCAGGTTGGATTGCTGAACGTTGATGGCTACTACGACTCCCTGCTGGCGTTCATCGACCAGGCCGTGGAGGACGGGTTCATCAGCCCCAGCGCTCGCGGCATCATAGTCCAGGCTCCCACGGCGCAAGAACTCATGGACAAACTTGAGGTATATATGCCTGCTAGTAGGCATGTTAATTTTAGCTGAAACTGGCTGAAAAACACTGTTCTAGCTGAATTGTTGTGAGAGAAAAACACTGTTCCAGCTGAAAAAAGAAGCCGAACAAGCTGAACATGGGTAAGCCGAAGGGAGCCAATAAATCTTTCAGTGATCTGCAGATTATATGCCTGCTGCTTCTGCATCATCACTAACTATACATACATATATTATTATTATACAACAGGAATACGTCCCGTACTACGACAGAGTTGCCTCCGGGCTCAACTGGGAGGCGAGGGTCGTCGTCGTCAAGGATGCAGGTGCTGCTGATTGAGGGACGATCAGCGTTTCAGGCATATGATGTTCGCATGCAGGCTGCCATGATTAGTAACTTGTCGTTAGGGCACTCCCAATGTAGAAATCATTATAGTTTTTATAGATATTAATTGTACTGCTACCTAAGCGTTTTGGCAAGGTAGTTATTAAAGAGAGAGCAAAAATCATAGAAACCGGGTCTAAATTAGAAACCATGTCTCTACGAGAACCAAGACATGAAGGGATGCGATTGATAGAGAATGGAGAGAGAATGTATGTGATTGGATAAAAAATTATTCTGTAGAAATTATCCATTGGGACCATAATTTTTACATGTAATTTCTATGGAATTTTAATAGGTATAGAAACTAAATGTAGTTTCTACCATTGGGACTGCCTTTGTATCGCTCAGAATGCTGTGTTTGTGCGCATGTATGGTTAATTAATGTATTGTAGTCGTATACTCGTAGTAGTAGCAGCATTTCATATTTTCATTTGAATTAGTTCGGTAGCTTAAGAATCAAAGTAGTATATGGTGTTGTAGTGGTAAGAGCTTTAATTGGGTTTTATTATTAGTCAACGCTTTTTTATGGAAGTCAATTATCGGTTCTCACGATCAAAATCCAAAGCTACTGTAGATCGCAAGAGCTATATATCAAGTAAGCTACTTTTTTTTATGAAAGAGGAGGGGTTTGAGCCCATACTGGCTTTTATTTAAAATATAAAAAGAATAAAAGTACATCAAGTAAACTACTCAAAATACACTAGAGCAACCATAGTGTATATGGGCTGAGTAGTCCTGGGTAGCTTTTGTGTAAGTGGGGGCTATAGCTATCGTTGTTGCCATATTGTTGGACCTTTGGTTGTAGAATAAAATATTTATTTTCCCACCTCCATCTCTCTCTCAAACCTATGGTCACAGCAGCCACAGGTGCTAAGGCAAGGGAGAGAGCGAGGAGAGAGAAGAAATATTTGTTTATTTCTTATGGACAGTCCATAGGACTAAGGACTATGGATACCTTTAGTTATGGATATATTTCAACTAGCTGGTAGACAATATTTTAATGTCTATGAACTACTTTTCTAGAACACTGCGGTTGCTCTTATATCATATCACTCTCTAAATCCCACCATGTCGTATAAAAACAAATACAATACAAGTCACCCATTTATTTCACACTTCCTTCATTCCAAATTATAAGTCGATCTGATTTTTCTAGATACATAGTAAAAGCATTTTCTAGATACAAGACACATCTAGGAATATCTAGAAAAATCTCAATAAATCTCAAAACATTATAATCGATGTCAAAATACATTTTGAAAACTTTCCACAATGAAAACACGAGAGATGCAACCAAGTCGAATGCATAGTATGAACGCATTCATCATTAAATTTATGTTCCATTCATGTTCCTTGCGTCTCATTTTTTTTGTTGTGGAAAAACAAGCAAAACATATTTATTTAGATATAGATATAGATTATATAATGGTTTTACCATTTTCTACATCTTGATATTTTTCCTATTTTTCTAGAGCTAATCTTAAATTTTCAAGCTTATAGGGATATTTTTATGAGATTTGAATATTGTATTTGGATTTGTTGTATCATAATCTCTAGTATTTTAGATAGATTTCTTTTTATCAAAAAAGCTTATCATGTATTTACATTTTTTTTACCTATCGGCCCTTGTTTAGATGGGCTAGACTAAAGATAGTTGGCTAACAATTAGCCTTATGCATCAAACAAGCCCTAGGTATAGATATAAATATGGATATAGAAGAATTCAGAAGAAAAAAAAATAGACCATGGCAATAATTTCTATACCTATAATAATAAAGAGGCAAAATTTTCGGCCATTTTTTTCGTCCACCCCCCTAACTGCCGGTAGTCAAGAGTTTCTTCCGTCTGACTTATATGACCCTAGATAGTTATGACAAATAAATCTCTCCAAGCCTAAATAAACTGATTAGAAATAGGAATCCTAATTCAAATAGAAAATAAATTAGATAAAATATGTTTTTTTATTTTCTATATAGCAAAACATCTCTTTCAATCCGGGCTTTTACTTCGCTGTATGTAATCGTGCGAAGGAGCTCTCTGGTCAGTCCGTCGACCCCTCCTGTCTCCTCCAACTCTAAATCGACACAGATATCAAATCGGTTTCGTCATCATAGAAGTCCTAAACGAACGTGCAAACCCGCCCACCTTGCATCCATATTACTATGCAAGACGACTACGATTCAATAAAAGTGCACGGGACATGAACGGACATGGAAAAAGGAAATAGAACACAAATAAGATCAGTATAAGTAAGCCAAAAAAATAAATCGGACGAGACAGGACGCTAAGACGCCCTACCTCGTGTGCAGAGCAAGTCGAGGCAGGACGCTACCGCGCGAAGCGAGAATGCCAAGCAGAGGAGCGAATGCGATCCTCGTCCACCATGCGTGTAAGCTCCATGTCGCCAGCAGGTTGTTGGAGACTAGATCTGGGGACAGGCAGGGGCGGACCCAGCACTAGGGCAGTCCAGGCCATGGCCCTAGTCGCGGATCATGTTTCAAGGGAGTAGGTCTTCAGTTTTTGCCCTATGAAGCAGCCCAACACATGAAGCCCATGGAAGGAGTAGGACAGCAAGCGCTCGATGCTTGCTCATTGAGTCGCTCGGTCTTCCATCGCTCGCGACTCGCGACCGCTGCCGCCTGCCGACCGCCCTCGCGGCCTCACCCGTCGCCCACGCTGTCCAGCCGGGCACTGGCCGCCGGCAGCCGCCCCTCGCCCCCTCCGGCCCTCCACTCTACGCTCCGGATCGGCTCCGCGGCGTCACCCCTCCGCTCTAGGCAGTCTGCGGCGGCGCGGTTCTTCCTCAGCCGGGCACCGGGCGCCCACCCGCTGCCCGCTGTGGCGCTACCGCCTGCCGGCTCCTTGCTTTCAGGTGAGCAGCCGAGAAGAGCATCCGAGCAAGGTTTGGATCTAAAACTGATTTTGATTCCAAATTTTCAAGTTTCCAATTTCGACTCTTTGATTCTAATTTCTCATTACAGTGTACAAGAAGAAGAGGACAATGACTTTAGTTTCGTATTTCTCTTGAGTTCCTGAGCAGTAGGGAGATGCCAAACAACAAGCTACTCCATTCTCAGCACCAGATCTTATTATTAACCTTTTGCTTGCTCCTTTTCTTATTAGGAGTTGTTATTGAGGACATGGAAGTAGACAATGCGAATGCACCAAATCGTCACTAGACAATAGGTATTTATTTTCAATGTTCCACAATATTTCTTAGCTATTGTATCTAACTATTAACTATATAGATGTAGAAATTCTCTCGATTTGCAAACTTTGCTTGAGAATAATTGTTTCTGTGACATACACGTGTGTGTATATATATATATATGGTCATATAGACTGTACTGTAGCTTAGATTTTTGGCCCCTAGGATTTGGCCCTGGTCGTGGGGGCTTGTGGATTGGGGTCACCGGCCACCTGTCGTGTGCGTCTGTGCCACACACAGAGCGATCATCCACTATCATCTATCTGTGCTAAGTAAGTGGTGCGAACAAGAGTACTTCCATTCCGACCCTGTGGGATTTATTTTCGTCCACGTATATCATTTTGCACAGAAAAACGGTGGATGCAAAAAGATATAGTTCATCTATAGGAGAAATCGAATCCAACCATGAAAAAATAGAAGATATACTTAGGAAAAAATACTGGAAGATACAAAATTAGGTAGGGAGAGTATCAAAATCTAGTACCAGTAACTATATTTCTCTATTGTTTATTATTTTTTAATAAAAAAACTAGGTAATTATTTTGATTTCATGTCTCTGTGCTGTCGTTCGTTCTCAGGTTAATGGCAAGTACATTGCTATAAATTAGCAGTCTCATACTCTATCTCATGTAGTGTCATTTTTGCTCACATGGAGAAGAAAAGAGAGGGGGAGAGAAAAAGGTCGTTGTTTCACGAAACAAGCATCTCATGAGCTAAAATTTAGAAATATGAGACAATTATTGCATCTTTGTAAGAGCTCACAACTTTGTTTTTATCCTATGTATAAATTAAGGAATTGTCACTTACTATGAAACAACTTAAAAAGACAACCATTATACATGGTGTCTATTAAACTATCTTAAAATTATGTGGCATTATATGAGACCGTCTATAAGACAATACCAATGTACTTGCCCTAACAAGGTGAACATGGACTGCAGGCTACTGCTGGAGACGGCGCAGGTGCAGCTGCTCCCTGATCTCGACCTCGTTATCTCCACTACGGCAGAAAAGTAAATTAGTGATGGTTCAGGATGTACATCAGCGACGGGAAATGAAGCGCCTCTAAATTTGCATCTACCTTGTGGACAACATTAGTGACAGATTATTCACCGTCTCTCATATGTGCATAATAACGACTGTTACTAAGAAAAACTCGTCTCTAATATGTGCACAATAGGGACGGTTACTAAGAACAAACCGTCTCTACTATGTCCAAACTCCAAGTTGTACATCCCCTCCAATCTCAGCTGGCTCGTGGACGGCAAGCGCTGCTCCTCTCGTTTGATGTCAATTTGCTTTGACGCTGTCGTGCCGTCCATCGAATTTGACTCTGTTTTATTCATGGAAAATTGGAAACGGAATGATGTGTTGATGGGTTCTAAGTACTGCGCGAAATGCAGTGTTCTATGTAGCAGACCAGATCGGGAACAGTGAAGGAGGCCCATGCGGTGGCGAAATGCAGTGTTCAAGTGGCGGACCAGATCGGGTACAATGAAAGAGGCCCATGCGGTGAGGAAGACCAACGACCAAACAACCAATGCAAGAACTTTATGGTTCTGGACTTGTAAACATCATCAATGCTTATGTACACGAGAGCTGAGGACGAATAAAATTACATACTGTAATGCTGGTGAAACGTAGCACCCTGCCACGTGCCACCTCGAGAGCGGTAAGATCACAGTGCGTTCACCACACCTGCTTGGCTGCTTGTTATCAAAACAAAGCCCCTCAGTTTTATTGTACA